TGTCGGCCAATTCGTCGGGCGGCGTTCAGCTCCCGGGCGCGGGCACGAGAGTGCATGGTGACGGGCTTGCGGATGATGAGGCCATCCTGAACGAGCTTGCGGACGGTCTGGCGAGAGTTGGCGTTGGCGATTTCGCTGACCTCGTTGGGGTCAAGCCAGATCTTGCGCTTTCCGCAACCGACCACGGAGGCCGCGAGGCGCTTCTGAGTGCGGAGGTTGACCCTATGAAACACCGCATGTCAGTATTTTGATCATTTGTGCGGTTGTTGGCGACGGAGGAGGTGGTTGTCGGAAGAGGGGTTCGCCACTGCACAAGCGCCTCAGAGGCACGAATGCGAGGCGCCGAATGTGCAGCGGGAACGTATTTGCTCTTCGAAGCAGTGCTGAAGGATATTTGTTCGGGAGTCCTTACATTTTCGATGTTGTTGTCGTCCGCGGTCGTTGTCGACTTACCGTTGTTGAAGCTGAGAGGTGCGAGGTAATTTCCAACACAGGTGCGTGATCGCTTAGAGCGCCAAGGCCACCACGTGACCACTAGCCAAATTCCCACCAACACAACGGCGACTAGATGCTCAGCAGGTGTGTCGCATGCATGGCATTGGCTCTGCCAATCCTATTGAATGTGTGCACATCAATATGCCGGTCATGTTTGTGTGGCATATTCATCTTTTCAATTCCACGAATCTGGCAATAATCACGGGATAAATCTATGCTGCTCAAGTTACGTACCGCGAGAGCGTTGCACTACGCCCACAGACATCATCACACTAGACTCTTAAGACAAGAGGGCTTGCATGCCTTTTGGGTATCTTGCACTCTGTTTCTGGTGGACAAACGCCGACAGCACGGAACCTCTACGTCAAGATGTCTCTAGTCACCAATTGAGCATCGCATAAGCACGTGCAAATGGAATCTTGCTGTACGTATCCATGATGATTGGTGTGTAGCATTCGGTTGCCCTGTCCCTAAACGCTCATGGCACAACGTTTAGATGTCACATTATGAGTCATTTTGCCATCATCGCGGATTAGATCTGAAGGACCTCTTCGCCCATGTCCAGTTATTCTCGAGTACAAACTCATTGGTAATGGCATTAAACGTGCTCAGCACTTAGGGTACAAGGGGTTCATTAAGTAGCGAATTGATGCATTCTTACTGCAACTTCAGGTCCTCCTCGCTTAAGACACCATAAAGTTTCTCAATCTCCTGTCCGATAACGTTCAAATCGTGCGCGAGTTGTCCAGTCACCAGTGCTGTCTGGAAGTTAGTGGGGATGATCAATTTCAAGTACAAACGGTAAGGACCCACCATAAGCATACAACAACTCGTAATCTTCGTCCGTAGCAATGGTTTTGCCGAGATCCTGTTGCCGAAACTCAAAGACCCTTGCGAGCAACCGATCACGTGTGTGTTCGATGTTGGGTAGAACATCATTGAGCGGGTATGCTAGCTTCATAGAGGAGGCCATGACTGTCACTTGTTAGCATTCAATTCCAATAACAACCTAGTATAAAGCTTACCTGAGAACAAATGACTGATACGCCAACTCAGCTCTGTCCACTCTTTCTTTGTATACCTCAGAGCTTCCTTCTCGCCATCCGACGCTTTCAGCTCTCTTAGTATGACCACATTCATCGCGTGGAAGCTGTCCAATAAGCGACTTGTCGCACCAAGGATAATCTGAAAACTCTTGTTAGGAAAGGGGCCTCTGAGCTCAAACTCTGCAGCAGCCGCTACACGCAGCGTCTCCAAATGATATAGATATCTTCGAAGTTCAATCTCCTCGCGTTCGGACATGAACGATTGTGTCCTGCTTGTGTGCTCATTGGATTCGAGGACAGTCTTAAGTGGCCCGCGTTTCCAAATCAATCCCATCTTGAGCCACAATAAGGACGTGCCCTTCTTGAGCTTACGGCGGGCAGAGATTGGCCAGATTATCCTGGTAACAATAATACCCCAAAGACAACCAACCATAACAGCAACCACTCGATGAATTACAATCTCCCATATTTCAGGCGAGATGCCACCTTCGTCATCGTCATCTTCGTCGTCCTTGACGGAAAGAGAGTAGGCGTAGAGCGCAGAAAGGTTGTACGTCAGCAAGATGAAACGACCCATAGGTCCCTTGCCCTTGCCGACAATGATGTAGAAGCAGAACAGGGAAATGACCCAACCGAAAAAGCACAGGAGAAGAGCGTGTTCGTCAGCCGCGATCCATGCAGCAATTGCTAGCACAGCACCCAGGCAGGTACCAGCAAAACGCTGGTATCCTGTGGTGTTGGAAGCGCCTATGGTCATAGAACAAACCAACATGTACGACAATAGACCCCACTCGCCACGCCACCGACTATAATAGCCCCTTGTCGATTGGATAAAGGACCACATAGCCCAGAGGACTGCACCAATGCCAACCTTAACAGCATATTTGAGGTCGTCCCTTCTGAAGACTGCAAGCGACGTCCATATACGGTAGGATAGTGGCTGTTCGTTCTCTGACTTGTATGGATCTCCACGCGTTGACTTCCTGTAAATAGGATTGTGAATCTCGCGCGAGCCTCCCACTGTCTGGGGGTCTGTTTCTTGCATGAAATTAGCCACTTCTGAGTCGTCGCCAGAATGGCCCTTCTTGTGCCAAGTTTTCCAGAACTTCAGCCAGTTGTAAGTTCTCTGCCGCGGATAGCGATTGACATTGGCCTTGAGCTCCTCAAGAATGTCAAGGAACCCGACCATGTCTTCAGCAAAATCAATTAATGACGAACTGAAATACCCGCAGCTTGCGGCAACCTCTTCAAAGTCGGCTGCAACTGCTGCCGAACTTGTCCTAGTTGGAATTTTGTTTGTGTAAATGCCAGAAAGAGCCTCTCGCCGTGCGTCTGCGAAGAGAGCCTTCGCGTCTACTAGGCTGTGCCGGAAGTGCTCGTTGATAGCCATGTTGTACTCTGGTCCAGGTCCAAACGGTAATTCAGAAAGCACTTCACGTAGGGTGTATGCAAGTGATTTCTATCTTGATCAGCAGTGCAAAAAAAGACCCCTCCCAAGGGTTTCAGACTCACCATTGGTGGGCCCAATTGAGCTATGAAAACAGAGAAAATGTCAGCAGGCGTCAGGTTCGACTTCGAGAGATTGATAGATTTGGCCAGCATTTGATTCATTTGATTGGACTCGTCGTCTGATTCAGCAGCTGAGCAGATTGCGGACGCTTCGGAGCTTTCTGGCAGTTCATCGATAGAGGCGAGGATGCTGCCCCGCCTATCCGAATGCCTCAGCGTGGGAGAAATCAGCTGAGGGCTTTGTGACATGGCGTGTTCTGAGAAGATTGAAGAAGTGACCGTTCCATTGGTAGGCATAGGTTGAGAAGCTGCCTCACCAGGCGCCGGCTGAGCAAGTAACGTAAACTGCGTCTCGGCAGCACTTCGCAATCCACCCAAACTCTGCATCAGCGTCTCAACACATTTGACCAGCCTTGCGTTGATTTTGTACTCTGCTTCAGTGCCCAACGCATAGTGCTCAAACTTGGCTTCTCCAAGATTCTTAACCAGGGCTTTGAACGTCGTTTGTAGCCGATCTGAAGCTTTGACATACGAGTCGCTCTTGAGGTCTTGTTCGGAACCTGAGAGAAAACTGAGCGCAATGCCGTTTAGCATTTCTGCCATGGCATCGGTCGATTTGATAAAAGTGTTGCGGAACTCGCTGCGCGCTGACGTTGGCTTTACTAGAAGCGATACAGCTGTCGATGCAGCACAACCCATGATGACCATCTTCAGAACCTGCCAGATTTTAACGTAGGAAAACGTAGCAGCCTGTACAGCGCCCTCTTTGGTCAGAACGGTGATAAGGGCAAGGGAAGTCAGAGAGCAGGCCACATTGACCAACGGATTGCCGAGCCTTTGTTTTGTCCATCCAACCAGCCCGAGACCGCCTCCACAAAAGACAATGAGCACTATGACATGACCAACTACGAGAAGATCGTTGTTCCCAAAGTAGGCTGACACAGCCATACTGGAGAAGGAGACGACCGCAGCATAGAGAAAGGCAGCAAAAGCAAGCATGACAGCTTCAAGCATGCTACCGGCTGAGCGCGCTGGATGGAAGTAGACGGTGATTGTCGCAACGATGTGTTTGCCGTCGTTCCTACCCAACAGCGCAGCTATGAAGGGGACAAAGGTAGCCAGCGACCCAAGTACATAGGCTAGAGAGCATTTCAGGATGCCAACGCCGGTCTGGCTCGTCGTATATGCATAGCCTTGCCGAAACTTGTACTTGATCATCTCAACAAGCAGCTCCTTCCTGCTCATTTCACGGTATCTCTCAGTTTCGAACTGGCCGGGAGCGAGGAGGATCTCGGCGGATCGGGTGCGGCGATGTCGAGATCTGCGCAGGGTGAAGGCCTTCTTGACGCGTTCGCCAGTCCTCGGCTGGATCATTGTCGCCGACCGCATCTGTAGCTTATGGTGAGCTATGCATGCGTGCCTAAAGCCCCAGGACGCGACTTACACTGGGCCGCATGAAGCGGCGCTGCGCCGGGCTCTGCGAAATCTCGCTTTCCATGGTGGGCACAATGTGTCCTAGAGCCCGTTTGAAGGACTAGAGTATGACAGGAAGCAGCATGGAATCTGGCGCTGTGCAGGCGTTGCAAGCGTTGTTGGTGGTGAACCCTGCCGATGGGCAGCTGCGATGACGCTGGCGCTAAGGCCGCCAGAGCTACGCGCGTGCTTGTCCATGTACCTCTGCGCACGACCTCTGCTCGTGGCATGACGTGGTGAGATGGCCGCTGAGGGTCATGTCTCCATAGTGATAGTGCGCTACCATTCCACTCAGGCGGATACTGTTCAAGAGCTGTCAACCAAGGGGGCCCACTGTAGGAGACATTCCCGCTCCGATTGGCGCAGGTACCCTTCACTAGCGCCCTCTTACCTAACTTCGTAAGATATTTTATACTTTCATCTCTAGGGAATATACTCCTCAAGCAGAAGCCTAACACAGCCGACTCACACTCTGTCATGGACGAAGAAGAGGACATGGACATAGCTGCGGCTATGGGCTTCTCCTCGTTTGGGGGAACCAAGAAGCGAAAATTCGACCCTGAAAACTCACCAAAGGCCAAAGCCGATGCAAGCGGTGCAAACTCCACCAAACTCGGGGTTAGAACGAAGAAAGTTGCTAGCGGAGAAGCGAATGAACCTGAAGCTTCCGATTCAAAGAAAACCCCGGCAACCGATTCGGGTCTTGCCAGCTTCCTCGCACGTGGCCAAACCTTTCCGGAAACTCCCCTTGGCACTGCTGAAGGCCCTGCTCCGAACGATCAGTCTGCAATGGAAACCATGTCATTTGGCGGACCTCCTATTTCTAGAGCAGAAATGAATGCGCTTCGTAATGGAGTTCAGACCGAGAACGGGGACACAGCCTATTTTCTACCAAGCTTTGTTGAGGACCCTTGGGCCAAGCTCGGAAAAGGCAACAGTGGATGATGTAAGTTTGCAGACTTTGAAAAACATTGGTGGCTACTGATATGTACGCATAGAATGCGGAACAACTCCACGAATCAGGTTACTGAAAAGATTGCATCAGAGCTTTGTGGCATCTCATTGAAGAGATTGAAGTTGCCATAGTGCTCTACCGAGTATTGTTGTAGAGCCACCAGGGTCTAAAAGCAACTAAAAGGTGGTGCTTCATGGGTGCCTGTGCACATTGACGTATTCAGATCACTGCGCTTGTATCAAGTCTAGTGTATATTGCACATCCATTAGGGCCGTGCGAGTTATGGCCGTGTTTTCTTAGGCTGGAAAAAAGCTGAAATCATTTGTAACGTACCAAACAGTTGAAAGACATTGTCAAGAACTGATTGGCACTAGCTTATCGGAAATTTGACTAGATTAGTAGTTGTGTAATTCAAAAGCTGACGAATATCATATCAATCAGATCTGATAGTGGGCGCTGAGAGCCAAAGGTCGCAGTCATTGGGAAGACATTATCACTGGTATCTCCTGTCCGACACCACCCACCGACGAGGAGCCGAAGAGCACATTCTGGACCATCAGAACGTCTGAGTAAATCGTAGATGTGTAATCGATCCAACTTGAAGCTAGAGTTTGTGGAACCCTAATTTCAATCAGACGGTAGTGGAGAGAGAGATGTCGCTGCCTGCCGCCGCGCAAAGTGTTGTACACTCCGTCTAGAAGCACACGAGATCAGGCAGGACTCAAGTTCTTGGTTGAGTCGAATTCAAGTTCTCGGCCCCCGGGTAAGTGTTCATGTAAGGCAGACGCTGGGGCGAGGGGTACAAGGGTGACCTAAAAGTAGCTCCCATGCACAACTCACATGGGCGGCATTGACAGCCGTGTCATACGATTGGCTTGTTCCGCGCCGTTGAAGCGCCAGTGTAACGCCTTCCATGGACAAAGGGTTCGGATAGCACTATGTACAAGGACATGGCATGCATATCAAAGCCGCTGGTCCTGGGAAGAGCGACGAGCTAGATGGGATCCCTCACCGCCACTTATTGCCGTGCGTGGAGAGCAGTTGACTCGCAGCATGGGAACGTCTGGGGAATGCCGGTGCGAGGAGCAGTACGAGGTTACGCAAAGCAGACATGTCACCCAAGGGCTCGAGGCATTGGAGCGCCAAGGTGGAGGTGCAGCAAGCTGCATTGGCCGGGTTGGGTTGCTGCTCGCAAGCATGACGCACCGCACCGCCGAGGGGCGGACTGTTAGTTCGGCGGGGCTTTGCTAGTCCCGCATCCTTCTCCACGACCTTCCATGACCATGACTACACAAAAAAAAGAACCCGCCGTCCAGCACACGCCTTCTTGCCAATTGCCCGCCATGTTCGTACGCGCAATCGTCTCATCGAGCTTCTTTGGGCCCATGCCGCCACTGGTGTCATGCGCTGTCTGATCCTTTGCATCCCCCTCCAGATTGCATGCTCAATGGCGCTGGCAGCTGTCGAGCCAACGCATCAATTTGACAACACTTAGCATGCCCGTCCGGCAGCCTACCCATGCATGTACACATCTCCACCGCCGCTGCTTTTACATGGCGTCTGCGTCTGCGTCTGCTGCGCTTACTCTGCCTCGCTGCCTTTAGCAATACCTTGGTGCCGGCCATAGACGGCACTGTCTCCAGAATCGCAACTTTTTGCCATTGCAAGCCAATTCGCTCCCCGACTCTTTTGTGCCGGCTGGAGCTGAGGCCACTTGTCACTAGTTCCTTGTACGGGCCAATTGGCATCTCAAGCATTCACTATCGCTCCGAGGTATCGTGGATCGGCTGCGGCCCACGTCCAAGAGCCACCGTCCAGCCCAGTCTAAATGACGCTTTACAATCCGGCACCAGCGGGAGCCGTTCTCAGTGGATGTAATCGTATGCAGCTTTATCACCATAACGGCGGGGTTGCGGCCATCACTCGGCACCAAGGGGTCAGAGCCATGCCCCGTTGACCATGATGCTCCTAGCATGCCTGCAGTGGAAAGGTATAAAAAGGACTCCTTTTACTGGACTTTGAATTGATCTTTCTGATTCTCTATTCACTTTTCTGAGGATATCATTATACCTTTGTCACATCTGGATCACTGTCTTGGCTTCCCACTTCGACACCTTGACCAACCACCAACACTATCTGACCACTCGCACCCTTCACCAGTACACTACTCTACATACCATTTCAGCATACAGAGAAATATAGCATTATCCAAAATGGCCTCTTCACACTCATTCTACAATCTGCCTCAAGCATCCTACCCAATCAACATGCCACAAAAGCCCGGATTTTTCTTCCCGGCCCAACAACATGGTTATGGACGCGTATCAGGATCACCACCCGAAGCTCCAAACAGCGTTACAACATCTGGTGTACCGTCGTACGAGCCGTCATCTACCTCTAGCAACTACGCTGGCAGTGCAAGCGATTATGAATCCACTAGCGGCGCCGCCAGCGTGGATCTCCTCGACTACATGGGCCGCCGCGTGAACGGCTCTTTCGATCCAATGCCACTGGATCGAAGTCTTGCAAAGCAAGCACAGACGTAAGTTTCTGTCTATCAGTGTATTCTGAATCACCAGACTGCGACTAGAGTCGTGTAACTGACATCGTACGCAGGTCCGGTGAACTCAACGCTAAGCAACGCGAACTTTCTGAGCTACAAGCGCTGGCTCAGCGCAGATTGGCTGGTGCTCGCATGAGCTTTGCAGATGGGATGAAGGCTGCAAAGGATGTACAGAAGGATTTGCAGTGGACTCAGAAGCGAGTCGAGTAAGTTTACAATAACAGCCAAACTCAATCACCAAACTAACGCCTCCGACAGCTCACTGAACAACCGAGCGGCACGCAAGTACCCAGAGCAATTCCGCACCGCACAAAGCCGGTATCCAGCACCAGTCGATTTCTAAATTGGTTCGACACCTTCGAAATTTCGCTTACCGCACTGTGGATGACACCAATATACGATTTTCGGTTTTTCCAAACTATGGGCGGCATTCGGTCACTTTACTATTCCACAGCGCTTTCTCGATTTTCTCTGTTTTCAAAAAATGTTCCAGAGCCTTTCCAGCAATGTTTCAATTCCAGGAACAAGTTCCACGTTCCGACCTGTCGTTCCCAATTTCCGCTCCACTGTGCTCCACCCTCGGCAGCCGGCCTCGCTGCTTTTAGCGTCCCACACGCCAGCTTTTCTTTTTCAGGAATTGTGACGCGGTTCGGCCCGTTGCCTGATGCAAGTGCTACGCGCCTGCTGACAGCTAGCGAACGAATCGCGGCTTTTGGATGGCGTTTGGGTCAGGAACGGGTCGGGTAGCTGACGTATCTCCTAGAGGACGGTCGCTTCGCTAGGTACAGAGGGAGAGTTGGTGAGCTTGCTCATTCGCTTAGAGCTGAGAAATAGCGCCTCGATCCATCCGGGCGGTTTCTGGGTGGCGGGAAAGCGCCTGTCTCATGTTTTATTGTCTTCTTAGGCTGGGAACTGGTTGTGTTTAGGTTGGCGTCATGATGATAACGGGACTTTTTGGTTAACACTGGGGTGGATACCTACTGGGATGTTGCTTGATACGGCCTTTGTAGTTTTTGAATCTTATTCAAATCGTTGATGTAACGGCTCATGTGATGAAGATGAGAAGCCTTTCCCTGTGGGGCAGTCAGTCCACCTGAAGACGCGGGAAGCGACATACCATTCCATTCCAGTCGTAGCGTGATTGGATGAAACGCGCCGTTATCGTATACCTTACTTCGGAAAAGTGGTGAGAGCCGTATATGTACATGTGTATGCAGTCGCCGACTCCCGAGGGTGTGGATATGTATCGTGCCCACTCAAGCATGCACAAGCAACTCGTGCCATGGCCACCCCCGCAGTCAAACCCGTTATCTTCTCTACCAATAGACTCGCAACCCCCCCACGTTTATTCCTGCATGCACGAAAAGGAAAAAGAAAACGTCAAGAAGACCGGGTACCACCTCGGAGATTGTCAAGCCCGATATCCTCTCCACTCCCAAACAATACAAAAGCCAAATTCTGATGGACATGGATGCAAGCTCGAATATCAAACCATGACTATATTTCCCAGAACAGAATATGAAACTGTGTTCAATTAAGAAGAAAAATCAAAACCTCTCCATCCTTCCTCTTCCTGGCAAGCAAAAGAGGGGCAATCTTATGAAGTAAACTTCCCTCACAATACCTCTTCCGAGCCTCCCCAGCACCACTACATGCCGTGCTCTTCGCCATGCATATTAGCTCCACGGCTGAACCCTTGCTGCCCTTCTTTACTCTCCCCCCTTTTTTTCTCTCTTGTTAGATACAAGCAAGGGATAGCGACTGGGAAATTCCTCTAGTAGCAGAGCAGCGGAAGCAAAGCGGCCCAAGTACGACGTCAGCTTCTTCGGGACCCTCAAGGGTGTATTTAGGAAGCTAGGAACTCCTCTTTGCAAGCACAGAGGGAGATTGGGGGAAGAGGTGCACTTTCGATGTACGACATACAAGCCTCAGGGTTCAGGGAACTAACCGCGTGTCAGATGTGAGGTTATCGAAAAATGGTCTGACAGTGACGGAATTCGGCATTTTCTGGACAAACAGGGGGGCTGTAGGCAGTGTAATGTTGTACAGTGTCGGGGGTCTTTCGGGTGTGGTGACGAAATTCAAAGGTCTCTTCTTAGCGTCTTTGGTACTCGTCCGCCTTCGCACTAGAGAAGGAGGGGTTATGGAGCCGTGATCCGAGGATATCGAACGGGTGGCTGTAACGCGTATATTGAAACGGTATGCATGAGAGCCTGACAGTTGACTGAGATACACGTAGAACATGGATTAAGGTAAGTAAGTTAGATGCCGAGAACTTCAATTGAGTGTGCTTTCTTAGTAGGTATAATCTTTTGTTCGCCGCTGATGATGAAGCTACATCACTTCTACGCATAGTGATTGGGCATACATTCTAAACCTCTGTCGATATGTAAACCGAAGCTGCGTTAGATTTCATGTCGAACATTGCCCGACAGCCAAAACCGTCATACTTACCTGGTGCTCAATTGCCTTCACTCTATGGACTATACAAACTTGAACCACCCTAGCTCTACCGTCTATAGATGACCGCGGCTATACATTGTGGTGTAGTATCACATGTTCAGACTGCGGATATATAACATTATACAGTAAGTACATAAAACAAGTAGTTTTAATAGCCTGACTAGCGTAGCTGAAGGGGAGTATAGCTTAAATCAGTTCAAGTAAATTAAGGCAAATTCTTAAGGAGTAACCTAAGGCTTACATAAGACTAGATACTCTATGAATGTAACTAAGACTACCCTAACCCAAGAGGTACCGCACGAAAACTTTTTCCAAGACCGATTGTAATATGTAGCTAAAGATATGATTATGATTTCCTTTCGTATATAGATAGCTACCTTATTCAATCAATTCTCTGGCAGCGGTTGGATTTCAGCTTTGTTCTGCCAGCTCGATTGCGGGTCACCCTTTGATCTTTTGAGCTCGATCATGTATCGTGCCACAATCTGCTAAACGTAACGCTCTGCATGAAACAACCCGAAAGCATTGTTTAGACCTTTCCATGTGGTTGCGATCCGATTAAAAAGCCTTGTTTGCTGCAATCGCACTTGACATGTATCGAGCGAATCGGCCAGGGACATCCTGATCCTGTTTCGCAGTTTCGATACCACTAAGGATGTTATCAATACCCACCCCGATCTCCTTGCTTCCAGTAATTTCCTCAATCTCACTGATAGCACGCCGCTGGTCGGAATCTGAAAAGGCACCGGATTCACTGAGAACGTTTGCGAGTTCGCCTTGAGTGTTGACATTAGGCACAGCAATGTCAGCTTTGAAGCGTGCAAAAAGCTCAAGCTGGACAAGCACTGAACGTTGGGTTGTGGTGGCAAACACTAGCAAGCGACGATTCTGAAGTAAGTTGTTAGCTTAATTCCTTACATTCCACCCTTTGCAGCGACTTACCTTTGGTGGAACCTTGCCAAGAAGCACCTTCAATGCAGACAAAACAGTGTTACTAAACCTAGGACCAATCGGCACCCATTCCAGCATCGACTCAATGGAATCGAGAACTATGATGCTCAACGGACTCTTGTAGGCATCCCTGAATGTCTTGTCAAGATGCTGCACTTTTTGCGATTCGCTATACCCAATCATGTCTTCAGCCGAAATCAATTTGATGAAGGGATAGCCCGAATCCATTGCCATCTTGGCAGCTAATGCAGTTTTTCCAGAACCAGGTGGCCCGTGCAAAAGGACAGGTAACAATGGGGTTGACGCCGAATTTCTGACTTGGTTGATGTATAGACGCCCATCTTCCAAGATATCCCTGATGAAAGGCGAAAAGTGGATGATACCGCGCATCACTCGTTTGCCGAGTTCTTCTTCGGCAACACCAAACAATGGCTTCACGTCGTCAAGCGCGGTTATGAAGTCCTGACGCATGACCCTCATATTCTCAACATCCGCCTTGACTGTAGTACCACCCTGAAGATGACGACCGAAGGCATAAGATGTTGCTGCCTTAACCAGACCATTCAGCTCGGCTCCGGAAAAGTTCTTTGTAAGTTTTGCTAGCTCTTCAACGTCAACGTCCGATTCCAAGACGTTGTTCTTTCGCATCTTGGTGGTGTGAATCTTCAGGATCTGGGCGCGGCCCGATTCATCAGGCAACGAAATCTCCAAATGGACCTCAAGACGACCAGGGCGGAGGAGAGCCTCGTCAATCATGTCCATTCGGTTCGTCATACCGATGAGAAGAATATTGTTCAATTGCTCCACACCATCCAACTTGGATAGCAGCTGGTTGACAACACTGTCACCTACGCCGGTGCCACCCCCACTACCAGACCCTCTCTGCTTGCAAACGGCATCGAGTTCGTCGAAAATGATGATGTGAAGTCCACTTTCGTCGCCCTTTTCCTTTTGTTCTTTCTCTGCATCTGCGAACATTTTCCGAATGTTCTCTTCGGACGCTCCGACATACTTATTCAATACCTCGGGACCGTTGATGACCTTGGGCTCACGAGCATTGAGCATCTTTCCGATTTGCCTCGCCATCAGGGTTTTACCCGTTCCAGGAGGGCCATACAAAAGCAAACCACGCACATGGTTGATACCTAGTCTCTCCACAACATTAGGAGGGAAGATGCGGGAAGCAAAAGCTCTTCTGAAAATGGCACTGAACTCAGTATCCAGTCCACCAATGCCCATATCTTCGAACTTGAACCCTGGCTGAATAATGGAGTTTGCGGCTGCACGCTTTGCCGACGCTTTGATTTTGAGCTCTGACCGAGCATCCTTAAAAAAGTCGACCTGGGTGTGTCTTGTAAGAATACCGCGAGCTCGCGGGTCAGTAATAGGGGGCATGTCAGTCTCCTCCTTCTCCATGGATAAGTCTGCAAGCTGTACCGTCCGGACAGATAACCTGAGGGGTATGTTTTTGACATCAAGAAGTAGTTGTTGACCAGGAGCTAGGATCTGGTTCTCAAAGCTCTTCTTGAAGAACGTGGCGAGCTCTTCTTGATCGTAGGGTGTGTCTGTAGTCTTTCTTCCCGCGAATCCGACTTCGACCTCGAGCGATCCCAGGTAGGATTTTCCTTGACTTTGGCTGAAGTGGTCATACTGGGTCGCCGTAACTACTTCCTGAGGACCAAGAGATATACCGGCCCATGTCCTTTGTGCGTCGGTAAGGCCGATCTCGCCTGGCGAGCACCCTTGTGTAGGTCGTGCAGAAAGGGCAAAATTGCCATTGACGAGGATGTAGATGTCTGAACCGTCGGGGTTTGGTTGGAAGTCCTGAGGAGATACTGCGACCCTGTGTATCTGTCAGGACCCATACAAATTTCAACCCTCAGTATACATACAGATTGCCAAAGGCATAAGCGTTGCCTCCTGGGCTCTTGATCGGGCGCAATTGCCTCACAGGCCCGCCGCCACCACCACCACCGCCGCCTTGCCTCGCAGGCACAGGCACACGTTGAGTAGCGGGTGGAGGGGCACCGCCGTATCCAGCCATTCTGGGATCGTAGTTACGTGGTGGTTGCTGTTGTGGGGGTTGTGGCTGTCCGTAGCCTTCGTTGCGCGGTGGAGGTCGTGGAGAGCTTCCTGGAAGACCGGGTACTCGATCGCGGTTGAACATTTTTGTGAAGGGAGTAGCGATGAATGATGAGATAGGTTTAAGTAGGTGCTACTACAGTATGGCCACGTATTTTCTGTGCGAAGGCAACAGCACTTGCTACCCAAGCTGTAATGTGGCTACAATGATCTGGGAGATGCAAATAATCTGATTGCTGCGCCGTATTGTTGGCGTGGCGCGATGATGGATGTGGTCGAGTCTGCCTAATC